TTGCCGTAACTCGAGTTGGCTCTTTAATTAATTGCTCAAATTGAAGGGTATTCATAATTTCGGCAAGTATGTTTGTGTGAGCATTGGCTTCATTATTAACCAGAAGAGACCAATCGCAGTTAAAATCACCAATTAAAATAACTTCCTTATTTTCGGAATCCATTTGGGTAATTAAATTTCGTAGGTATTTAGGCATTCTTGCGAGCTATTCGGTGGTCTATACCAACTATTAACTATAAATGGTCTGGCTTTCGGCTTCGTAATTTCAAGTGTTAATGTCTCAAGACTTTCATCGGTGAGATCATCTCTCACTGTATAGTTTAAAGAATTGCGTAGGTAAATTGCAACTCCCCCACCCAGTATGGAATGTCGGTGATCGCCATGGCACATGTGCCGTGCACAGCAACGCAAGTTGGTGCACAACTTGGTGCACAAATTTTCAAATTTGTGCACCAAATTTAAAATTGGTGCACAACGACTTCCACAACAATTTGGTGCACAAAATAGTGAAATTTAAATTAAGTAAATTACTGAATATTGTAGAAACTAAAAATGTTAGTATTTTTAGTAAATATTTAAGTATTTTTATCACTCATTAACTGTTTCTTTTTAAATTTCGAAATGCAAAAATATACTTAGTCTTACACCAAGTAGAAGGATCAATGTTTCGGCTGACCACCTAGAATGCAGCCGCAAATTCGCAAAACATGAATTTTTAAAAATTTATGCAAATCGCAGGTTTTCTATGTTTTATATTCAAATTTGCAATGAGAAAAAAAGCACTAAATGTGAATGGAATCGAGTCAATCGACCGAGTCGTTCGTGTGTGAAAATCAGTCAAGTGACGATGACGGCTGTGACGTTTACCATGATGTTGAGCGCGAACAAACAATACGAAATTTATCTGTAAGTATTGCGGGACTGAAAAGAGTACTTTGCGATGCCGATGCGGGCGATGCCGATTCTCAAGATGAAAATATTGTAATTATTCCTGAGAAGAAAAGCCTCAAACAATCGGTCGTTGCGAATTCTGCAACATCTGCATGTAGGAGTATTCTGTCGTTTTTTAAAAAACCTGTGCAATCTGGTCGTATTAATAATGATGAATTCGATGATACGCAAAATGTGGCGCCGGCGGTTGTGCATGTGATTCCTTCTGAAAGAAGAAATATTAGAAATTCTAGCGAAATTCTGGGTACAGTGGGGGCATCAGGTCAGGAAAAGCGTGCAACAAGTAAAAATGAAGGACAGGGTACTCGAGACTATTCAAAAAATAAAAGAGTTTGTCTTTTGTGTGCAAAAAGTGACGATACAAAATTGAATAACAGGGCAATTCTTTCCCGCGGTGGAGATTATCAAATTAATAGGCACAAAAACAGTACTCATCCCAGCATTCCACTTGCTGAAGTCAAAAGCAATATTGTGCCAATTAATCACATCTCAGTGCCAAAACGTGTAAGAGCCAAATCATGTATAGTTCCAGCCAAACCAGCTCCAGCAAGGAATCCTGATGCTGAAGTTACTACAGGAAATGATAAATCTTCCTCAAATGATGACATTGAAGAGGATGATAATAATGACAATCATAAAATAGAAACAATGGCAACATCGAATTTACAGAACAATAAGACAGTAAATTCGCAATCACAACGCACAGAGAGTTCTGGCAGATGCAGTGCCATTACAGCAGACACAACTCTCCAGACAAACCTGTCCAATTTTGTTACGGTTACAAAACAAACCTTTGAAGAAAAAGTAATATCAATGATAGAAAAGCTCTCCATCAAAGTTGACAACCTTAAAGAAGCTAGCAGCACAACAGCAGCTAATATTGAAAGTCACCACAGGTGTGGTAGATTTCAATTGGTGGGTGTGACCATATATAATTAAATTAGCCTTTCTCACGCCGCCATGTTTTGGTAATTTTCAGCTGAAGCCTGCGAGCATAAGGCCAGGTAACGGCGACTTCTTATATATTTTTTGATTGTATGATGATAAAATTACTCTGTAAATGGTTAGTTTACTCCAAAAATTTGCTTTTCACATTGTTTTATAAATTGTCTGCAATCGTTAACGAGAATTAGATGGTACCAAAAAATGGCGGATATTTCCTTTATGAGAAAGGCTAATTATGCCTGGTGTTATCAAGCTCTGTGTATGGTAAATGATGCTTTGCTCAATTTTTGTTTCCCCATGCAAATATATGCATTGGTTTGTACTGCATAAGAAAATATTTGATATTATATAAAATATTGTACAAGAATCTCAAATATACCAATATGATTTTTTCCCCATATTGAATGCATTTTGCATCAAATATTTATATATTTAATAATTATCTAGTATTTATATATTAAGCTATTTTTTGCAATCTTTAATTATATGTTACGAATTGTCCTGTTTGTTAATTAAATGCAATTTTATTGGATTAAGGTGCATCAGGGGCAGTACCTACGTCAAAATTCAGCGAGGACATGAAAGAGTCATATCTGCGAATGAAAGATTGGAGGAATGTGAACAATATTGTGGAACTTGTGAGTGAAGTTGAATGTTTGCAACTCTATCCTTTGGTTGGCAAAGAGGAAGATGAATTTGGAGGCAATTCTGGTGCAATCCTTAGGTGTGAAACATGCTTTTACCTATACAAAGATAAATCTGTAAGACTAACACCTGCTAGAGCTGCCAAGAAGCTGTCCAGAGACTGCACAAGTATTTGCACTGGAAGGTATCTTAACGAAGGGAGGATGGAGGAACTCATGAATGGTGTAGGAACCTACTGGCGCAAGCTGAAGAGTTCTGTGATTCAACACATGCTTTGTGCTTGTGACGGACAGACACATTTTAAAGCTCTTACAGCATTGAATGAGGAAAAGAATTTAATGAAAAAGAATTATGAAGCAGCTGAAACATTGGTAAAGAGTGCAATAGTTTCCATTAAGTCCAAGTCTGCTGCAGTTCACTATGAAGAGCAGGTTGCTTTTGCCTATTCTCTCAAGGCTCAAGTTGGGCAGAGTGGACATTCGCGGAAATTAGTTCCTGACCTTGTAAGGTGTCTTATTCAAGTTGTTAATGAAAGAACAAAAAAAGAATTGATGAAATGCCTTCCCAGTACAGGTCTTCCTCCTCATTACTACATGGCTTTAGATAAAGCAACTGTTAATAAGAGAACCAACCAAGCTGTTATTATTTGCCCAACAATTAATGGTGTTAAAGTACCAATTGTTGTTGGTGCACCAGAGGTGTACAAACACAGTGATGACGGTGCTGTAGAGGGAGGAAAGGCTGAGGACTCCGCTAACCAAGCCTTAGAGCAAATCAAGGAGAAATTTGGTAATACTGTATTGGATTATATGGTCGGTAAGTTCTTGTTTTATACTGAGTTATTGATTACTTGAAAACAGAGTAGAGTCTTCCAGAAGCCCGCTTTTATTTCAGAAGAAGCAAATAGTCTTACAATAAAAGCTGAAATAATTGCAATTTTTATATATAGGAATATCTGCAGACGGTGTTTATCAAGCCAATGGTTTTCAGGCAACAATCAGTGAAGACGATACAAGCCTCTTTTTGAAACAAGTGCATTGGGATCCATCTCACTGGCTTAACCTTACTGTCACTGATGTAAGAGATGGAAAAATTGGAAAATCAAAAGAGTATTTCTCAAATTTCATCGAGAGAACAAACAGATTATCGGAAGCACTGAACAGGGGGAAAGGTAAGTTCTGTTTTAGACCTTTAAATTAAAGCAAAATCAATATTTCTATTTTCACAGCTATATTTTGCACAAACCAAGCTAATAATAATTAATGATCACTTCAATGTAGGTAGAAGCATACTCGAAGCCACAGCAAAGCAGCTCGAAGTAAAACCAACTGTATCCACAACATACTCACAGATTAGATTTGCTAGTTCGGCGTATGTGCAATGGCAACGTCTAGTCAAATCTTACAAACTTTTCACTGCAGCATTGAAGAACGCATCTCCGGCATTCTCTGATGAACTCCATCCATTACAGTATCAAGTTCTTGGACAGGTAGGACTTTATTTAACTACAAGTTTGCCTAAGTTAATATACTACCACTATTTTTTAATGACTATATTTTGAATATGTATTGCTTTCCCATGCAGGACTTTGTTGTCGACTTATTGTTGATGCACGATATGTTTGCGCCTGTTGCCAATGTGATGACAACTCTGCAAAGCATTTCCATTCCACAATGGAAAGCTAATTTATATGCAAAGAAAGTAGCGAAGTGGCTGGTTGATGCATCAAACGAGTGCCACACACATGGAAACATGGATTTCTTTCCGACAATGAAGAAAAATATGGAGGTACATTATTATACCATGCATGAAGGTCTGTTTTAAACGGTGATTCATAGCACAACATGTTATCTACCAATCAATTAGTTGAACATATAGTAAAGAAAATTTTAACATTTTTTAAATAAATTGTTTGTGTTAGGATATCCTGAATCATGACGCAGAGAGCGATGACCCAGCTGAAAGACCAAAATATGATGGGGTAGAGCTTGTTTGTGGGTGGAAAGTTACTGGGATAGAATCTTTGGAACCGGATACCGACCAAAGCAAAGGAAAGAACCCTTGCAAGAAGCAGGTTTTAACCAACTGGGAGGAACGTACCGTTGAAGATGCCTTTAATGATGTCAAAACATTTGGAAGAGATTTGGCCACGTCATTGGAGAACCGCATCGAGTCATGCATAATCAATGCTGGGCAGGAGAACTTTTTTGATATTGAAGAAGCGTTCAAACTTCTGTGTGGTGAGAGGCTAGAAAACGACCATGTCAGTATCCAGGAAGGTGATTTTGAGATGTTTGGTGCCACATCGTTTCAACAATTCTTTCGCGAGATTTGCAATTTGAAGCACATAAAGTCCTTAGGTGATCAACGTTTCGACGAAAGACTTTACCTCTGTACTTTACGGCAATGGAAGAATGCGATTCGTCATTTGGTTTGGGAAAAGGATATGAAGAACAAGTTGTTATCGTGTCTCAGGCCAGTTGATTCTACACACCAACAAATCGCTGTTGCGGTGACTGCTGACCCAGAAGCAAAGTTGATGAAAATGGAAAAAGGGACAGTAACAACCAACGAAGTTGAATTACATCCTTTGTTCACATTCGAGTTTATCAACCACCCAACTTTTCAAGCTGCGGTCCAAGAAGATAAAGTCATTTCTATGTTATATAATGACGAAACTCTGTATGCTATGGCCGGAATTGTATCTATGACCGCTTTCGATATAGCAATGTCTCTCGGAAGTTCAGAGGCGATTGTTGAAAGTTTTTATAGCGTCATGGACACGCAACGAAAGGTTCGCCAGCAACATACAACTCTTGAAGACCGTAGTATTCTCGACTGGTCAATAGGCAATGTCCTCAATGTTGAAGATATTGTATCTAAAGCAGCTAAACTCTATGTGGATGGATCATCCGTGCTAAAATTACCACGGCATCGTGTTGGAACATTGAAGAAAAAAACTGAGACATCGTAGACAGCGAGTCAAGTTTTGACACGTTTAAAAAAGGAGAAGGGACGCTATCCATTCCTATCATAATTACGCAGTTTTATCACGGTAGAAAATGGATTTAAATGTATAAATTAAATCAAGTTACATGTTAGTTAAGATTTAGTTACAAATTGAGCCAGTCTAAGGTGGACTCACGAACAACTCTTATTGATATTACTTGCAGTAACAGCCTACAGTTAACTAAGCAATATTAATCTAGACTCTAGAGTTCTGTTGTTTCGGAGAGCTTGATTACTAATCAATGATTACTCATCTTGATTATTTCTCAGTTTTCAAATTGAATAGCATTATATAAACTAAAGAATTATGATGCGTCTTATTTTTTAAATGAAAGGCAATAGCAATACAATGGACTAATGGCTGATTAATATTTCACAAAAAATGCTTCATCCCCCCCCCCCCCAGCCGAACTAAAATCGATAAATTTTAAGGTGCACATGACAACCCTTTTTTGGTGCACAATCGTATCCGCTGACTAACGTGTGCGGTGCACAGAAATACAGCATTCCATACTGGACACCACTTGACCAGGTGACTAAAAACATATGCAATGATCATAATATTTTATAGCATAAAAATAGAAGGACATTGTGACACTAATTATCTCTAATAAAAGCTATCTAGTTCTTTATTAAAAGTTCTATTTAAAACATGCGTAGGAGTGTTTTTTCAAGTCGTATATAATAAGTCGGAGGCCGTATTTTACAAATATTTTATGGGGTTTTTTATTGTCGAGGGTAGAAATTCGAGGGTGAAAAGCTTGAGGGTACATTTTAATAATTTAACAAAATAATAATTTAAGTTCGTGTTCACTTACTGTACTTTTAATTTTTAGCTCTTATTTTTATATGCAATTATTAATTTTTTATATGCGATTACTTTTTATATGACGAAATATTACTACATAAAAATAGACATGCCGATCAAAAGCGACAGTCGAGATATTTTCAAACGGCGTGGTGCATTATCTGCGTTATCTCGGATTGCATGTCGCAAGTTATTGTATCAGTCTATTCACTATATGGTCTATTGAATCAAAGTAATCAGGACTTGTTTACACCTTTCCATTACCATACGCCTTTTCCGGGTTCGCGACGCCATCTTCAAAGTATTGTTTTCGCTATTGTGCTTGCCCCACTTGCAAATTTACCTATTGGGAATGCCCGCAAATTTCTACCCTCGACAATAAAAACCATAAAATATTTTAGAAATACGACCCCGGACTTTTTATATATGACCCTATATATGACCCTCGACTTTTTATATATGATTTTTCGACCCTCGCTTCCCACCCTCGACCCTCGAGAAGAACTCCTGAAACTGAATTACTAAAAATAGCTAACGTAAACAAACCACATTTATCAAACACGCAAAGAAAATTATTTAAAAAGTAATATATTGTTAGTCGTGTCATATAGTTAATTGTCAACACTTTTTCAATGCATGGTAGTAAGTTTATAACTGGCACCAAGTTATGTTGATATTTTGTTTATATAAACAGATTGATTATTTTAATTTGTAAGGCTTCTGTAAGTTTGTTATTATCAAACGTTTAGATTGTTCTAGTAATGATTTTACTTTAAGACCAAGACAATGCAGCTGTCGAGACCGATTTTTAATACTCTATAAATAAAACATTAAACTGTGTAATAGAAGTAATAGTGTTGGGTAAAGCTATCTATAGTTATATATATTTTATACGCGCTTTTGTCTAATTGAAGCGTGGTAGACAATATTGCCAATATTGTTGTGGTTTGCGATATAAATTGCCTCGCGAATCGAAGACTTTCAGATATGTCATATGTCGAATAGATTTGTGCGTTGTTTGTACTTCAATTTTGGCCACGAGGCACAAATTAGGGAGACTTAAAGAACACGAGTGACGAGTGTTAACACAATTTAACTACGTACAGTGTTATGGAACGCCATACTGGACAAAATTACTTTAGGATTATATACGTAAAACTTCTTTCGCGCGTACATCTTATCTGCATTCTTGCAAGACTTGAATACACGCGTATAAAACATCATGCTTCGCGTGTAAATCGGCTACTGTACTAACTGTGCGCAATACTTAGAAATATCCCCGTAAGACTCTAAATGTGGTCCGTAAGACTTCTAAATATGGCCCGTAAGACTTATAAATGTGGTCCGTAAGACTTATAAATGTGGTCCGTAAGACTTATAAATGTGGTCCGTAAGACTTCTAAATATGGCCCGTAAGACTTATAAATGTGGTCCGTAAGACTTCTAAATATGGCCCGCGCGTAATAATTCTTAGCCGTAATTTAATATGAAAGTATTATATTTTTCGTGAAGTCCGTACATAATACTTGTTTACATGTTGTCTATAAACTCGAACGTTCTGTGCGTAAGACTTTTACACCCGTTTTCAAAATTACGCGACCAAAGACGAAAATGCTAGAGTTGACATGTCAGTTTTATGTCATTCGATCACGAAGTTCAAACTTTGAGTTTTGCGGTTCCTTGTCGATGTATATGCTTTGTATGCTTTATATAAACAGACTTACAATGATTTTCAAGATATTGTAGTGAGAATTATTGTAAAACTTAAGCACGACAAAATCATAACATCACCGTTATAGTCTAGCGCGCGTGTTTTATACTGACAGCTATATTCCAGGATAAATTGTTATTTTTCAAACTTTAAAAGTCATTCACGGCACATATTTATGTTGTGATGGTTTGTATTGTGCTTTAGTTTGTATATCTAAGTTATCTGAGTCATTTTTGTTCAGTTTTGGTATTAAATACGGTTTAAAATGTCTTTAGACAGTTTGTTTACGTTTGCTATTTTTAGCAGTTCTTGTGACATAAAACTGACATTTGAAGTAGGAGTATTTTTCAGGGAGGTCGCGTAATTTTGAAAACGGGTGTAAATAAAGAAATGTGAATTTGTAATGACTTTAACATGAAAACAAAACAATTACAAAATAATTGGACGCCATTATCAAATGTTCAGGAAATATGGAAGGAGAAATAGAAAGGTTTTGCTAGGATTACCGGCTTTAAATGAAGAATGCGAAGTTCACAAACTGTATACTTCACAAGTATTAATGTCGTCTGTGAATTTGTGAACTTCGCATTCTTCATTTAAAGCTGGTAATCCTAGCAAAACCCTTTCTATTTCGCCTTCCATATTTCCTGAACATTTGATAATGGCGTCCAATTATTTTGTAATTGTTTTGTTTTCATGTTAACTAAAGTCATTACAAATTCACATTTCTTTATTTAAAAGTCTTACGCACAGAACGTTCGAGTTTATAGACAACATGTAAACAAGTATTATGTACGGACTTCACGAAAAATATAATACTTTCATATTAAATTACGGCGAAGAATTATTACGCGCGGGCCATATTTAGAAGTCTTACGGACCACATTTATAAGTCTTACGGACCACATTTAGAAGTCTTACGCACCACATTTAGAAGTCTTACGCACCACATTTAGAAGTCTTACGGACCACATTTAGAAGTCTTACGGACCACATTTAGAAGTTTTACGGACCACATTTAGAAGTCTTACGGGGATATTTCTAAGTATTGCGCACAGTTAGTACAGTAGCCGATTTACACGCGAAGCATGATGTTTTATACGCGTGTATTCAAGTCTTGCAAGAATGCAGATAAGATGTACGCGCGAGAGAAGTTTTACGTATATAATCCTAAAGTAATTTTGTCCAGTATGGCGTTCCATACAGTGTTGACAAAATTAAAAAATACCGGGCCAACGTCAGTAACGAACCAAGCCAGTTGTCGATCAGAATTAGCTTTCCAATAACGGCAACCGCTACTAAACACGCGAGAAAGTCTCGAATTTCGATTTGTATTTATATGAACTGTGGTCATTGTATAAGAACGAGTGTATGAGAACCCCTCCATTTGATAATATTTACTGTAAATAGAACTCAATACATTGTAAACACAACGCTCGCTCCGATCTACTACGAATGGCGGCTATTTTTAGATATTTCGTATTTTTGTAGTGCGTTGCGTGCGTTGCGTACGGTGCACCTGTGGAAGTGCACACTTGCGTCGCCTAAGAAAAAAGATTGGCCATTTTAATACTCCGGTACTTACAGTACCCGGAGTAATAATGCAAGTAAAAAAATAGTGACAACTTATAACTATAAGCCATACCGATAACGACTAAACATGGATGCAAAACAATTTTAACAATGCTTTAATAATCTTTATATTTTATATTTATAAATGCATTTTGAAAATATTTAATATATTTAATAATGCTCAATTTATACGACGAAATGTTTCTGGGCCTTGAATGGGTATGACACGTTGTACATACTAAAACCTAAGTCTATTTAATTTATATTTTGAAATATGTGTTTCAGTGTTTGCAACATAGCCATAGGAAAATAACGACATACTGAGGCGAAGGCAACCAAGTTCAAATTTGGCAAATGTGTTACTGACTACTGTTAATAATAACAATGAAACTATTTCTTCTATAAACACGATAATAAATTTATAGCTTAACCTAACGTAGCCTTAGGCTGATGTGGTGATATAGTACTAAATACATAAACACGATCTATATATATAAGAATTACCTAACGAATTCACTTATTTTCGATCAATATGAATGAATAAAGTTTGTGAATACTGCATCGGTGGAGTCTATAGAGACAAGTAGATTTTTAGTGCTCTTTATAATGAAATTAAACGGTTTGATTATAAAAAAACATATACTATATAGCCAGTTTATGCATAAAAAAACAAGTGTTGACAATACCAATAATTACAATAACCACAACGGTGATTACTTTTTAACAATGAGTTTAAGGATTAACACTGAAAATGCAAAATATGCATGGTGTGCTGTGAAGCGTCATAAGTCCTATTGATCTACTGTAACTGTGTAAGCCCTTTCGATACATGTGAATTGTAAACTTGTATTCTTTCAGGGCTTGAAATAACGTTCCCAAAGTTCCCGATCATGGTGATCGGCAGTCATGACTTTCCCTGCTTTTTTCAGGTTGGAAATACCCTGGCCCAGAGGTTTTTACGCGAAATGCGAGAAAACGCGCGAAGAAAAAGGAAAAACCTCTGGTGAATTTGTTGGCGATTCCTGGTTCGGATAAAGAATGCAAAAAATGTATAATTGCTTAATGCATCATATTCTAAAAATATTATCCAATCATTATCCTTGACGCCAGGCCGTCTAGACAGGGTTTTATCGCATGTTTACTGTCTAGTGTATGCCTGCCCATTTGTAGCAATATTCATTCTCCTAAATTTCATTCAATTTAAAACATCACATCTATTCAATTTAATATAAATATATATTTATATTCATTCACTTTAATCTTGCAATATACATTCAATTTAATCCTGCAATATACATTAAAAACAATCTGTATTTTATAAATTTATTAAACACACCTCTTTGGCCCACGTGAACTTTGTCTGTTAATACAAAAGCAAGCAAATTTGTCTTGTAGATTTCAAATGAAACGATTGAAATCATTCCTCTCCATTTCGCATTTCGAATAATAGACTCGGGATTACAAAATGCGAATGCAAACTCTCCATCTAGTATTGCTTTCTCGTCCTCTTCGTTTGACAGTGAAGTAACACGGCATCCACGCTTTCTTAGTTCACGGACGTGAGAGTCAATGAAAGAGTTCAATTTGCAAATGACTATTAAGATGGGTTTCTCCAGAAAATTGTGGCTTTTGCCAAGTCGTCGTGCTACTCTCGGTGTTAGAACTTTGGAATATTAAATTCTTCCCATAACCGATAGCAAGATGCAAATACATCTTTAATGTGAATCAAATTGGACAAGACGCGGTATTGATGCTCGGTTAAACTTTTAATTCAGGAAATTTATCAATCTATCTATTAATGCAGCCTATAAAACATTTATTTAATAATATAGACATTTCAAAATTCAAATGTTTCAATTCAATCAAAACACGAAACGCCTGCGAACAGGCTATGATGTTTACAATATCCAATCAGAACACGTAGTCTATCGAACCTATAGTCAGCAACCAATCAACTTCTAGGTTCCAATTTTGAAAGTTATGTGTGGAATGTGACCCCAAAAACCCAGCCAATTTCACCAGAGGGTTATTCAAAACAGGCGAAAATAAATACCCTCTGGTTCCAGGGTAGGTTGGAAACCGAAACCCTGCTTTTCCGCCGATCATAAGCAATTTCTTGCGGATCATTGATCGGTTGTTATTTCAAGCTCTGTCTTAACAATTTTGAATTGATGCTGATTTCAAATGACTAAACCCATGTAATAATTATCCCATGCAACTGTTAGGAAGGGCAAAAGTTTTAATCGAGGTCGAAAATCCTAAAGGAAAGGTGAAGTTTCTAAAGGGGGGGGGCGAATTTCCTAGGAATTTCGCCCCCCGGGAGGGCGATATTCCTTGGAATTGTTGGGGGGGGGGGGCGAAATTCCTGGGACACCTGTTCATGTTAAATATTCGTTTGTGATCACACAACTGGATTTGAAGTCACAAGATAAAATATGCAACCTTTGAAAAACTCTCCCAAACAAATTGAAGTTGATTTTCATTAAAACCATGACAACAAATGTTCAATTTTAGAAACAATTTGATAATGTTGTGCTATTTGAATGATTCGAAATGCTGTATTATTACCGTTGTTCCTTAACAAATGCGGCTAATTCTGCGTCGTAATCGTCGTCATGACCACTTGACCAATTGTCCTCAGTTCTAAATTAGAAACAAAATAGATATATGCAACCAGTGGCGTAGCCAGCCCGAATATTTGGTCCCGCTATGCAAATTTCAACTCATTATCATTATTCATTTCTTCAGAAATTGATTGTGTTGATAGTTTATAAACATGGCAATATTTGCATAGCTGGACTGAATCGTCGGGCTGGCTACGTCACTGTATGCAATATTTCAAATAATATTATAGGTAAAAAGGCATTTCTCTTGTACCTATACCTAGTATTTTTCCTTACGAAAAAGTACCTTACATTCTAGTCATAAAATACTATGTTGGGAAGTAGATCCAAAGAAGGCGACATCGCGTACATCCGGCAAGTTTAAATATAGATTACGACCAAAATGAGAGGACTTCCAATATTTTCAGCACATTACGACATTTTTAGCGCTCAGGGACGTATTGTATCTAATGTATCACTCAAGTTTGCTTGAAATCATTATAGAGGAATTTGAGGTAAGAGGTAAAATCACAATATGTAAAGCTATATATTACTGAAACATTGGAAATCTGCAAAAATATTGTCCCCGAATCCCTTTTTAATAAAATAATTAGACGCCAAATCTATAAGTGTTGACAAATAAGCCGAGTAACATATTACACTAAGAATTAGATAAGCACAAATTGTATTTAAGAAAGGTTTCCCGTGTTTCCCGTTTCCTGAGAACCCGTGTAACATTTGGAGGGTTCAGTCGGAAAATTTTACAATGAAATTCAAGGAAAAAAGGCGATTGTAAGAGAGGAATACTAATATATTACAGCATGTAAATGGCGAAAATGGCGGTGAATATGGGACTATTATGAGGCAAACACTCCTGTAGTTTTGGACGGAAATGTGCGTACTTCTACGCAAGAGTGACTGGACTTAAAGCTGGGACATGTGATATGGAAGGTACAGTACTTTGTTTAATATATCAATCATGTGAATTCTAAATTCTGGTATTGTAGATTTATAATACACTTACATCTGAACGAAAGTCAAAATGTCCAACCCGGGGATCGAGGAAAGGTTGCTAGAGAAATGCTCACATTAAAATCAGAAATGCTCACATTAAATTCAGATGATATTTTGAAATTAGCACAAAATATGAAGCTAGATGTATCTAGGATCAAAGAATGAGTAGATTTATTATTCTAAAGTATATACAGCAAGGTATGGAAGAGACAGTGGGCAATCTAACTGAGAAAGCAAAAAATTGTAGAGTTTATAGAAAGTATTAAAGCTTTTCCTGACCCACCCCCGCTTGAAGAAAATACCGAAGAGTTGGAAAATAAGGTGGTAGGGGCCCCAGGAATCATTTTAGAATTGGAAGAAGAGATGCAAAAAATTTTGAGTAAACAGAACTGAAGAAATTGAATTAAAATTAGCGGAGGTTCAAAAGGAAAAGGATGTTCAAGAAAAAGTAGTGTTTAGTCTGAAAATGACATAAAAGTACCATTGGCTAGTCTTGAAAAGAGTCTGCTACATTGAGATTTTAAGATATAGGGTGTGCTGTAGTTGGGGAGCCTGGGCAGAAAGATAAGTTGGGGGTATCAATCATTAATTTCCCAAATCGAAGCTGGCTTAAGAAAGCAATACACTGAACTAGAAAATGTGAATGTTGTAGTTAGAGCAGTACAATCGGAGCTTCAGTTAAGAAGTTATTTGGAAAGTGTTACGCAACAACCAAAAGAGGATCCACAATCCTCCTTATTCGAGCCCTTACCATTTGCCAAAAGAGGATTTTTGTCGTAAAAGAGTCTGGAAATAATGCGCAAGGATTATTTCTGCACGCTCTTGAGACTGGACATACTAATGAAACGATCCAAACAAAGATGAGACCTATACCCTTCAGAATCCTCTGGTCCCCAATGAAGATCTGATTGACGCCATGAACTTGACTATGTCTGCAGAAACCGTGGGAATGAATAAATTCAGTTTTTCGGGCAGAAAACCACTGAACATATCAACCCTGGAGATGGCCACTGACAAAACCAAGGAAGAGAGAGCGAAAGGACGAGCATCAGCTGCACTGAAGGCCATCAAGAAGACATGGCGACAATGCAGAGTGAAATGCAGTTTTTTCGTGATGCGGCCATTGATCACTGTTTTTTTTGTGGTGGGTCCAACCATATCGCCAGACATTGCCAGTTGAAGTTCAGAAACCTGGGTGTAGCCCAACCAAAGACCATCATTGTAACTACTGTTCCAAGAAAGAAACTAGGTCAAATGAGTTTCAAATACTGTATGTTCGGTATGCAAGATACTGTTCAAAGGATTGTCACAAGAAACATTGGGTCGAACGAAAGACAGAAAGTACAGCCATCTAAAACCTCAAAGCCCAGTTTGGGAGCAACCTGTAAAATAGAACAGCAAAGGAATTTACCATGACAATTCTGTCAAGGCATCCCTCCGGCACCTGTCGCACTGAGAGTCATTGCAAATAATACAATCTATAATACAAAACATAATCCGAAGATAAGCATCTTGAAACCCAAAATATGAGTCAAACAAGAAAGTGAGTGAGTAATATTTCGATTTTATTACAAAATCATCATCAGACTAACTAAAGTTACAATATACACATGGTCTTATATACAAGTTGGCAAGGCATGATGACAGCTTAACGGAAGTCTCAATCAGAACCACGACAGTTGCAGTGAGATGTAAGTGTGATGAAATGTGGGTGTATAGATTAAGAAAAAAGCTTGAGTTCTTTACTGTCTTTGAGTCCAGTGTTTAAACTGGGTGAATGATACTTGATATATAGAGCTTCAAGCAACAAGAGTAAGTTAGGTGTGTGAGAATAAATAGTGTGAAGAATTCGAGAGTTGTCAGATATTAAGTTGGAAATAAAAGTGGAAACGTTATTGTCAGCGTCAGTTGGGTTGTTAAGTTTGTCAAAAACAAAGTGTAGGTTTACAATGTATTGCACATGTTCGCAGTTGTGAAAATGCTGTCCAATAGCACTTTTGGTCGGATTGGTATGTTCAGCGAGTCGCGTCTGTAAACGTCTTTCTGTTTTCCCAATATACGTTGCGGAACAGCCAGGACATGTCACCTCATAAACTACATTAGATTTTGAAAGATTCGGAATTTTGTCTTTGTTGGAAAGGAAATAAGAAAACTTTTTGTTGTCATAAACAACTATAAAATTTACAGGAACAGTTAGGCATCTTTGTATTTTCTTTATGCAACTTTTAACTAAAGTTTCACCTTGTTTACCAAGGTATGGAACGCGAACCCAAAGCTTAGGCCTAGTGTCGTTTTCATCAAAAAAGTTAGTGCGAGGTCGATCCGCAGAAAATTTGTTTTTTAGTTTGGATATCAATAAATTCCTGATCGCACGAGGAAAGCCATTCCAAGACATAAACATTTTAAGCTTCCGAACTTGGTTATCAAATAGTTGACTGGTACTGCATAATTTTGATGCTCGGTGAAACAAAGATTTAACCCACGCAGTTTTACGTGAAAATGGTTCAAAACTAGAAAAATGTGTGTATTGTCCAGTGTGCGTACTTTTGTAGTAAACATCAGTGTTATCCGACGAAATCAAAATGTCCAAAAAATGAATTACATTATCCGGAAAGGTATCAACTGTAAATTGGAGATTTTTGTCAAAACTATTAAATTTGTCAAGAACAGCAGGAATATCCGAAGGTTTTATAAGCACTAGAGTATCATCAACGTATCTTCGGTAAAACCTTATGACACCAGATTTAATTAGATCCGAAACAATAAGTTTTTCAAATTCCGAAAGAATGATGTTAGCTAGCACAGGCCCCAGTGCAGACCCCATAGAAACGCCGTCAGTTTGCTCAAAAAGTTGATTATTAAATGAGAACGCGGTTTTAGTACACGAATCAAGAATTAGTTTTTTCAAAGTCCGTTTCAAAAAAGTTGTAGTAATCAATTTTTCTTCAAAAACGCGGTCAAGAATGATTTTGACAGTTTTGGTTAGCGGAACGTTTGTGAACAGTGAAACAACATCAAACGAAACAAGGCGATAACCTTCTGAGAAAAGCTCTTTAGGTATAGATTTTATTTCCGAAACCGCATGAAATGAATCACGAAGAGTGTAGTCGTTTTGGGCTAATGGATTTAATAACTTAGCGAGAAATTTTCCAACGTTATAATGTGGTGTTCCAGTTGTGTCAATAATAGGTCTAAACGGTGGCAAGTCGTTGTAATGTTTGTGGACTTTGGGAAGCCCATGTGCTCTACCGAAGTGTGCTGCTTTAGGTCTAAGAAAGTCATAGTCAGATTGAGAAATTTCACCACTTTGTAAAAGAGTGCATAAGAAGGACTGTAGAGAGTTTAGTCTAGTAGGCGTTGGGTCAGTATCAAGTAATTTAAAACGTGAAGCGTCAGAGAAGAGAGATGTGACAGAGGAAAGATAATCACTGCGTTTCATGACAACAATGCCATTACCTTTGTCGGGGTTTAAAATGGATAGGTCTTTGGAAAGTTCAGTTAGTGTTCTGATTTTCTTTCTGTCCGTGTAGAACTCGCGCAAATCTAGATCGATACAACTGTAGGTGAAGGAGCGTAACGAATTCTTGATTTTATCTTGTATATGGCGTCCGTCTTTAAACTTATTGAGGCGAGCGATTTGATCCCAAACGTCTTCCGATACAGCCATTATTTCAAATTGGTTAGGTCTTGTAGCTAGTCCGTGTCTTAATCCAAGTTTAAGTACGTCAATTTCATCAGATGAGAGAGTGCGGCCGGACAAGTTTATGATGATGTCATTTGGGTTCTCTTCGATCGCATCCGCCGTTTGCTTGAGTTCAATTAGGGTGTTCAGTTTTCTATCGTGTCGGGAAGTGATCTTACTTTTCTCGATGCTGAGTAAACGATTAATCGAGAAACAAATGAGTCGGAATTTCATCCACGTAGTCACCAAGTTGCAATTAAATACCAACGGTCTTTGAGAAGATTGGCTAAGGCACAGTTGGATTTGAAGTTTCTTTATGACTGTAAAGAAAATCAAGTCTTTCCGAAGTTCGTGCGATGGAAAAACCTCAACCGCATGAAGAAAAGGAATCAGCGACGCTACTACAACTTGCTCCTGACTGATGCTATCAAAGAAAAGAACTCGCATGTTGGCAATTTGACGAAGCAATGTGATGAGCTCAAGCATGAACTATCTGGACAGACTACGTGGATGAAATTCCGACTCATTTGTTTCTCGATTAATCGTTTACTCAGCATCGAGAAAAGTAACACGACACGATAGAAAACTGAACACCCTAATTGAACTCAAGCAAACGGCGGATGCGATCGAAGAGAACCCAAATGACACCATCATAAACTTGTCCGGCCGCACTCTCTCATCTGATGAAATTGACGTACTTAAACTTGGATTAAGACACGGACTAGCAACAAGACCTAACCAATTTGAAATAATGGCTGTATCGGAAGACGTTTGGGATCAAATCGCTCGCCTCAATAAGTTTAAAGACGGACGCCATATACAAGATAAAATCAAGAATTCGTTACGCTCCTTCACCTACAGTTGTAGCGATCTAGATTTGCGCGAGTTCTACACGGACAGAAAGAAAATCAGAACACTAACTGAACTTTCCAAAGACCTATCCATTTTAAAACCCGACAAAGGTAATGGCATTGTTGTCATGAAACGCAGTGATTATCTTTCCTCTTCTCTCTTCTCTGACGCTTCACGTTTTAAATTACTTGATACTGACCCAACGCCTACTAGACTAAACTCTCTACAGTCCTTCTTATGCACTCTTTTACAACGTGGTGAAATTTCTCAATCTGACTATGACTTTCTTAGACCTAAAGCAGCACACTTCGGTAGAGCACATGGGCTTCCCAAAGTCCACAAACATTACAACGACTTGCCACCGTTTAGACCTATTATTGACACAACTGGAACACCACATTATAACGTTGGAAAATTTCTCGCTAAGTTATTAAATCCATTAGCCCAAAACGAGTACACTCTTCGTGATTCATTTCATGCGGTTTCGGAAATAAAATCTATACCTAAAGAGCTTTTCTCAGAAGGTTATCGCCTTGTTTCGTTTGATGTTGTTTCACTGTTCACAAACGTTCCGCTAACCAAAACTGTCAAAATCATTCTTGACCGCGTTTTTGAAGAAAAATTGATTACTACAACTTTTTTGAAACGGACTTTGAAAAAACTAATTCTTGATTCGTGCACTAAAACTGCGTTCTCATTTAATAATCAACTTTTTGAGCAAACTGACGGCGTTTCTATGGGGTCTGCACTGGGGCCTGTTCTAGCTAACATCATTCTTTCGGAATTTGAAAAACTTATTGTTTCGGATCTAATTAAATCTGGTGTCATAAGGTTTTACCGAAGATACGTTGATGATACTCTAGTGCTTATAAAACCTTCGGATATTCCTGCTGTTCTTAACAAATTTAATAGTTTTGACAAAAATCTCCAATTTACAGTTGATACCTTTCCGGATAATGTAATTCATTTTTTGGACATTTTGATTTCGTCGGATAACACTGATGTTTACTACAAAAGTACGCACACTGGACAATACACGCATTTTTCTAGTTTTGAACCATTTTCACGTAAAACTGCTTGGGTTAAATCTTTGTTTCACTGAGCATCAAAATTATGCAGTACCAGTCAACTATTTGATAACCAAGTTCGGAAGCTTAAAATGTTTATGTCTTGGAATGGCTTTCCTCGTGCGATCAGGAATTTATTGATATCCAAACTAAAAAACAAATTTTCTGCGGATCGACCTCGCACTAACTTTTTTGATGAAAACGACACTAGGCCTAAGGTTTGGGTTCACGTTCCATACCTTGGTAAACAAGGTGAAACTTTAGTTAAAAGTTGCATAAAGAAAATACAAAGATGCCTAACTGTTCCTGTAAATTTTATAGTTGTTTGTGACAACAAAAAGTTTTCTTATTTCCTTTCCAACAAAGACAAAATTCCGAATCTTTCGAAATCCAATGTAGTTTATGAGGTGACATGTCCTGGCTGTTCCGCAACGTATATTGGGAAAACAGAAAGACGTTTACAGACGCGACTCGCTGAACATACCAATCGACAAAAAGTGCTATTGGACAACATTTTCACAACTGCGAACATGTGCAATACATTGTAAACCTACACTTTGTTTTTGACAAACTTAACAACCCAACTGACGCTGACAATAACGTTTCCACTTTTATTTCCAACTTAATATCTGACAACTCTCGAATTCTTCACACTATTTATTCTCGCACACCTAACTTAATCTTGTTGCTTGAAGCTCTATATATCAAGTATCATTCACCCAGTTTAAACACTGGACTCAAAGCCAGCAAAGAACTCAAGCTTTTTTCTTAATCGATACACCCACATTTCATCACACTAACATCTCACTGCAACTGTCGTGGTTGTGATTGAGACTTCCGTTAAGCTGTCATCATGCCTTGCCAACTCATATATAAGACCATGTGTATATATATTGTAACTTTAGTTAGTCTGATGATGATTTTGTAATAAAATCGAAATATTACTCACTCACTTTCTTGTTTGACTCATATTTTGGGTTTCAAGATGCTTATCTTCGGATTATGTTTTGTATTATATTTTTTGAAATTGTCGGCTGGTATTGGTTTTTAGGTCCCTATTAAACAAATCACTCATGATTTACTCATTTTTGCGGTTCATATATTCAGTTCGGTAATTGCTACGTGGACCAAAATACCACCATTCGATTCAGTGTAACGATAGCTACTCATTCCTATCTATAGATTTAGTGAATGGCAACATTATAGCGATTTATGAGCTTTGAAAGTCAACCGAGCTCGTATATGGTCAAATTATGCAATATTACTGACAAATTATAAACATAAACATACCTTTCGCCGAATATAACTTTGTTCCATTGAGACGTATGCTCATTCTGATCGTCTTGGTGGGTTAAGAAGTTAAAAATAACACGTATAGTGTTATTTTCAAGCTTCTATCTTTAAAATTCGACATTTAGTGCCGAATTTTGTATTTCTGCTCCGAATATGCGTTAATCCCAACCGGAAATACGACGAAAAACCGTCAAAACAATGCTACGCTTGCATCGCGTGACTCTGGAAATGCCAGAAATGGATTCTACAGGTCAAAGTGCACCCATACGCGTGAGTTTTACGTCATCCCGGCTAAAGGGAGCTCCTTATTGGCCAAGTATTACATAATACAAGCGCGTGCTAGTAAAACCCGATACTTTAAAAATTCAAAATAAATATTTCTAGTCGGCGTATACATACGAAACTTTCTACACGAAAGCGCTTGAATACAAAGAGTATTTTACACATATCCTTTCAGGAAATGACACCAAAGTTTAGAATATATTCAACTTTTTCTCATTTTCTCCTTTGAATGTTTGGCGAAGCGGTGAGTATAAAATATATGATTGTTTCGATTTGTGTAATGCTTTGATGGCACTTGACCCCCCGTTCGAAAGGTTATATTGTGAGGATTTCAATGGTGGCATTTATTTAAAAGGGGGGTAAATACTCGCCGAGATATTTATATTAGAAAAATTGAATTCGAAATGTAATACGAAACAGATTGTCGAGAAAGAGTTAATGTGTATGTTTCTCAACAGTTATCATTGGCAAGTGCAAACAACAAGTGACAGAACTTTTGCTTCATATGGTTACAATAAAGTTTTGAAAATGGTATGGGTTGACAAGTGACAGTTTACTAAATAGACACTTGAATATTGTTTGCATGAAATTTTGACCCTCTTGGATAATTATTATTTACCGAGTCACAATCATAGTCGCATAAAATTAGATAAATTTTCTCGGTGGCGGGGGGGGGGGGACAGGTTGAGTTGCCGCTGCTGCCCTCCGTGCTGTCTACAGCCTTGTTAGATTTGTACTATGTTTGGCTATTTGTCTCGTAAATAAAATTAGTAAAGTGCAATGGAGAATGGGCTACCAAAATACTCTGAATGAAGTAAGTCTCTTAACAACACTGAATAACAATATAAATCATAACAGTAAACAGTCTGAATGAATTAGATACAAGTTTAAATACCAAAGACACTATATAAATCATAATACTTTTAATGAACTATGTGGTGATGTACCAATATTCATAACGGATATCTGCACTGATTGGCCAACTACTCTCAACTCATATAGTTAGGATGAATTTTTTACAGTAAGTCCAATTATCGGGTTTCAGAATATCGGTAAATTTCCATATCGGTGCATCACTAAATGTTAACGAATAACAATATAAATCGTAAGACTCTTATAAACTAAGAATCTAACTATTAACAAATAACAGTATCAATATTAATGTTACTCTTATTCCAGCATCTTCCCACAATGCTATCTTTATTGATTCTGTCACATCTGCAATCAGACAGTCGACTTTATACTTTGTTTTGCCTTGGTAAATAACAGGTTTTTTCTCGGATTTCAAAAGCTCTTGCCTCCACGTCAACTTTGTCGTAAAGTCTTGCGTCGAGACATTCTTGTACAGTGGAGAGTCGGCTTGCAACTATGTCATTGTATGAAAATGCTACAGTCGAAGGTGCAATCGTGGCTGCTTTGGAGATGGAATATTCGTTCTCTTTGGTTCTGCTTCGTTTTGTACCTTGAATTTTAACAGGAGACTTGTTTTTAAAATGTTGTTGAAGCTTCATTCTTTTTTCAGGTGAATAACAGACCATTCTAACGCTTTCTTCATCACTAGTTTGCAATTTGAAGTCAAAGTACTTTATGCTTGACTTGCTGGAGGACTGTATAGGACTTAGAGTATGGACATAACCCTCAGGGTGTGGATCTGCAAAATAAATAATTATTACATATTACAGTACCGATTTGGAAAGTAGTTTTAGTATAGGGTTATACGACGGGAATAGGTGACATAAAATTCAAATGTTAAAGTCATGTATGCTTTTCAGATAATAGAAACTTTTTACCTTTACCAGCCTTATGTGAAGGTGACTCATTCCTAAAATAACAAATAGCTTCTAGTTAGTAATTAAATTACATAGTATAGTGCGCATTAAGGGAGAGGAGATATCAGTTGAGAAAAACGCTACCTTTATACAGTATACTTACTTGGAACTAGTTGCATCCATTTTCGTTCTCTATGGACATAATAAAAATATTCATTAATAATTAGCTAAAATAGTTTTAACATAGTTTGGAAGCAACAAATGCATTGGGCAAAGTTCATGGAACAGTACAGTACTTGACCTATTATTAGCTATATAGCTTTAGCTTGAGAACTGGTAAAAGCATTCAAAATGTAATATAAATATTATCTTTACACATTTTGGCACAAGAAATAGTTTCCATCCATGGACTTGGTTCCCCACAAGTACTGTGAAGTACTACTTACAAAACTACACTAGAAAACATAAACAATGACATAAACTGCTTTATCATCTGAAAATATGTCTGTAATACATTTCCAAAAGCATTTGACTCAGGTAAGTTGGTGTATATATGGTCAAGGCAAGTTTTGTAATCTGTTGTACAAGTTGATATCAATTGCCTGTATTGTAACTGCTGCAGAAGTAAATTCTGCAGCGGCAATCATTGTATCAATCGAGAGTATTGCTGTGGAATTTTCTTAGATTTCAGTAAAGCTTTCGATACAGTTAACCATGAAATCCTTATTAAAAAACTGGAGCATTATGGAATCAGGGGGTAGCCAATGATTGGTTTACTTCTTATCTTAGTGGAAGAACCCAAGTAACTGTGTGCAGTGATAGTATATCTACCAAGCAATCAATTTCTTGTGGTGTGCCTCAAGGATCCGTGTTGGGTACTCTATTATTTCTTTTGTATATTAATGATTTTAGTAACTGTTCTAGTGTGCTTGATTTGCATCTTTTTGCAGACAATGCCAATTTATTTTATTCAGATAAAAAATTATCTGATCTTGAATTGGTCTTAAATGTTGAATTGCAGAAAGTCCACATATGGCTGTGCTCCAATAAGTTATCTTTAAATGTAAACAAGACGCCTGCTCAGGCGTTCACACTGGCCTGAAAATGGCAACTTTTGTGGTACTGGGTGTAATGTGTAGTAGAGAAGAAGATAGGGATACAGGATCATAGGGATACTGGATCATATAAATACAACCAATAAATACAATCATGATCAGCAACTATCAACCATAATATACCAAGACGCCAGCTCAGACGTACCCTCCGGCTACGGGAAACTCAACCTGACAAGCCAGGCTCACTGTAACTATGATCATCAACTATCAATCGTAAATAATGACTGGCCAATAATAGCAAAGAAATTATATAGTCCTTGATTTTTAATGCCATTATATGGCTAGTTTCAGGTGCTAAAAAGTTCATAGACATTGACGATTCTTCTAAAAAATACGATCCCAACCCAAAGCCCTTCTCTAACCCCAACCAGTAAACATCTAATAAACAATTTGAGAATTAAAAAGTGGGGGGGGGGTGTTGGATCTTGTTCCAAAAACAAATCGAACCGTATCACATTTCACTTCGCCACACACAAACGTCACCTCGCTGAATACAATCGAAAACATACATTTTATAGTAATATATGATGAATTAGAAAGTAATTTGGCGCAAATTAATGTAATTAGGTGCAAATAAATACAAGAGCACAGCGCATGTTTATGAGCCTACAACGTATATTTATACTTGTTAATTAAAAAGTCAAACTGTCAAACCTTTAACTTGTCCTTGTTTATATTCCACTATATTGTATAAATTCGCTGGGTCCAAATTTTGGGGTTTTCGAGTCGTTACACAAAGAAAAACACACTAATTCAACATGCAAGAAAGGCCAGAGTGCGACACAATGTAAAATCCATAGGAAACCGGCACAATTCCTTGAAAATTCAACGAAACTGTGTGAAATATAGATCGCTCAGTGAAATATTAGATCGCTCAGTGAAAATCCGCCATTTTGAAACTGAACTGAATATGCCACTGGAGCATGTTGCACCCTGAGCCCACGATGAGCTAACGCAAACTCCATTTCTTGACGAAAAAAACACAGAAAAAGAGGGATTTAAGACACTTGGCCTACAGGCCAGTGTAATAAATCAAATTTTGTTATTTTCCATTGATCTCAAAAGAAACAGACTTCTACAGTAACATTGACTATAAATAATGAAATATAAGAAATATACTAAAAGAATACTAAATAAATATAAAGAATACTAATAAATATACTAAAAGAAGAAAAATGTGTGAAATATTTAGGAATTTATATTGATTCAATTGGAGAAGTCAAGTTAATTATATAAAAAAGAAAGTAAATCGTAGCATTGGTATCTTATCTAAAATACGTTATTATGTTAATATTAATACTCTTATTAATCTTTATTATTCTCTTGTACATCCATTTTTAATATATGGATTAATTGTATGGGGTAGTACTTATAATTCTACCCTTAATCCTCTCTATTTATTGTAAAAAAGAGTGCTGAGAATTATGACATTTTTCAAATTCGATGAACACTCTAGCCCTCTTTTTAAACAAACTAAAATAATAAAATTTCATGATCTTGTTTTTCTTATGGCAATATCACATTTCATTGATCACATTTGAAAAATGTTTTGTTTGTGTTAACGAAGTTTACAACTATAATACCAGACTTTCAAGTAAGATTTCTTACTCAATTCCAGGGGTAAGGATTAATTATGGAAAATTTAACATTCGATTTCAAGGTGTAAAGGTGTGGAACGATATAGATGAAAACTTAAAATACCTTTCTCCCTCAACCTTCAAAAAGAAATTGACAATTGACTTCATCGACAGATATTAGTTTTTATACTCAGAATGACACATTGTTTGCCTCTCTTCCTAAGATTTCTTTTAACTCTTTCTCAACAGGCCGGTTTCGCATTACATTTCGATTCAATTTTTCTAATGTAAATATCTCGGCGAGTATTTACCCCCCCTTTTAAATAAATGCCACCATTGAAATCCTCACAATATAACCTTTCGAACGGGGGGGGGGGGTCAAGAGTGCCGTCAAAACATTACACAAACCGAAACAATCATATATTTACTCACCGCTTGGCCAAAGATTCTAAATTTTATATCCACCAAATCTTGAATATCCCTTGAACTTTTCGTCATTTGCTGAATGGCTATATGTGTAAAATACTCTCTGTATTCAAGCGCTTTCGTGTACAAAATTTCGTTTGAATACGGCGAGTAGAAATATTTATTTTGAATTTTTCAAGATGTCGGGTTTTTACTCGCACTTGCGTACATTGCGCAATAATTGGCCAATAAGAAGCTCCTGTGGCCGGGATGACGTCAAACTCACACGTGTAGGTGCAATTTGACCTTGCGAATCCATTTCTGGCCTTTTCAGGGTACATGATACAAGCTTCGCATTGTTTTGACGGTTTTCAGTCGTATTTCCGGTTGGGATTAACTCACTTCGAGCTCACAGTCGGACAAGAAATGGAAATATGTTGATAAAAGATAAAGATTTGAAGATACAGGCTTGCAAATAACACTCTAAATAGTGTTTTTGACAGGGATTCGAACAAGACTATTACAAAGACGATATGTTCGATGGGGCCGAAGTTATTTTCGGCGAAAGGTATGGCTAGTCTATATTTTTGTTCAGACAATTGCGTAATTTGATACAATATGATTGTTTTGACTTTCAAAGGCCCATAAATCGTTACAATACTAATAATGACTGTAACTATCGTTTGGAACTAGTTGATATTTTATTTCTGAATCGAATGGTGGTATTTCTGTCTTCATAGCATGCACTGAACCGAAGGTATGAAATTTTCTAGCCGTCGATCGATCCCCATCGATGCGAATAGGGCCTGTTGAGAAAGAGTTAAACATTGAGTGGATTTTTTTGTTGGTTTTTGTTCTCAAGTAATTTATAAATTTGTGAACCCAGTCTGACTTGTTTCTGCTGCCTGATCTATTAGCCTTTATGGTTATTACAGGTAACAGGTACTCTTCTTAAATATTTTTTCTCATACAATTCAAAAAATGTAAATATTTTATTTTGGGTACAAATAAATCTTTGTTGTTGTTGTTGTTGTTGTTGTTGTTGTTGTTGTTGTTGTTGTTGTTGTTGTTGTTGTTGTTGTTGTTGTTGTTGTTGTTCAGTTTCACTCAGCCAGTTAACATTAAAATCAGCAATAAATATGTTATATCCTGTACGTAGTGATATCAATAAATCTCTTAAATAACTACTCCCAAAAAGGGACTTCCTCGTTCTCTGAAGAGCAATTTTTGTTCCCCGAAGGGAATATTTGTTTGCTCCCCGAAGGAAATATTTGTTTGTTCCCCAAAGGGAATTGTTTGTTCCCCTGAAGGGAAATATTTGTTTTCTTGTTTCCTGATGGGAAATGCTTGTTTCCCAAAGGTATAAAATTTTTACCCTTGAGGAGAAAATATGTTTGTTTGCCAAAGGGAATTGCTTCAATTTTTTATACTGGCAATGCGCCCGGATGCGCCCTGAGATTGGCAAGTGGGTAACTGGCAATGCGCCCACATACGCCCTCAAATGACACCTCAACTTACGGGCATGATATTTGAGCACGTGTTTATCGGGTTGCCTAGCAACGGATACGAAAATAGAACGCGAAATTCGAGCTTTTCAACGATGTATCATGCAAGAAAATCGGCCAAAAACTCGCAAAGTTTTTCAAGTTTAAAACCTTAGTTTTTCAAAAATAATGAATAATGGCGACATTGTTGCAAAGACGGATTTCACAGCAAGTTTTAAAAGAGAAAAAAGAAGAGGTTTTTGAATAATCTACAACGAAAATTTGGCATGAAAGGAAAGCGAATGCATTGACGTTTTGGGGCCAAGTTCTTCTGTGAACCATGCGCGAGATTTTCAGCCAAAAAGATGAGGATTTCTCCAAACTTTATTAAAAATAGAAGTCGGAAATCACAAGAAAGATGAACACGGAACTCAAGTGAGCAGATACGATTTTTTAAAGGGTATTTTTGAGTAGAAATATGCGATCAAACACTCACAAAATTCGACCGCATTAATGTTGGTTGAATCTAGTTTAAAGTTATCTTTTTAGACGAACTGTTTATGCAAATTTGGGCGCAATTTCGACTGTTTTCGTGACCCCAT